ATATATATATATATATATATATATATATATATATATATATATATATATATATATATAATGTCTTTGTCGTTATAAAAAGTGAAACTTTTCTTGCAGGAATGAACTGGAGAGGCAGTTTTTAGAATGCCTGGAGTTCAATATTAATGTTCCAAGTTCTGTTTATGCCAAATATTATTACGAATTGAGGACACTGGCCATGGCTAACGACTTACAATTACCACTACAACCATTATATAAAGAACGCGCGAGGAAACTAGAGGTTTAAATTTACTTCATTGCCTGTGACACATCATGCCCTTATTATTATTTGTGGGAACAGTATTTGGCAGATAAATTAAACGTAGTGAATCTATTGAGTTTTAGGAAATCATGTGCTACTGTATTTGGCTTGAAGTTCCATTATATTGGAAAACACGTTGCACTGAACGATCGGGCATCATGGTGAATAGTAGCTATTGATGTCATTGAGTCAACAGGCTCAGAATCATTTTAATTTTGAATTGTTAAGAAATTTTTTGGATATGGATTATTGTTTTTTCGTAGGCACTCAGTCGAATCTACGAGGACAAAATGCAACCCGATTTGCGAATCACACATCGGAAAAGCTTTTCGGCTGAAAAGTTGTTAACCAAGGAATATCATACACCAGTCGTCATATCCTGATTTATTTATTCTCTGCGAGCATTCTTATGTAGAATATTCTGCAAAAGACTTTAGAGTAGTTCCAAATGGAAATTTACTGAAGTGGTCAGATCCGCTGAGTTCTGCTGTGCGCGCAGTTCTTTTTTTTTCCCCGCATAAGAGTTGCCAGGCAATATTAACAGTTCGGTGTTTCACATATCAGCATGTCGTAATGGATGATGTATGATGCCTCTATTCCTTTTCATTGTTCTTCCAGGAAGCAACACTGCATGGTTTCTCTATCCTTCTAAGAATTACTTCTTTATAACTTTAATGTGTACCCTGGTAATCTGGAGTGATTATGTATAGGGTAAAGACGATAGTCATTGCGGTGTATAAGCGAGTTCCTATCTCGGTACACGTTGCACAATTGTCATTCTACTCTATTTATTGATGTGTATTTAATTCTTACCGTTATTGTCTCTATATTTATTCATCAGTTTGTTTTTTCATATATAATAGGGCTCAATTCACAGAGAGTGGTGCACATATTGTTGACTGTTTCTTACAGAATCTCATTGATACTACAGTTATCTGCCGGTCGATGGTAATGAATTATCTATATATGTGGAATTATGAAATTAAGATTTTTTTTTGATGCTGTTTATATTCTGTGTGCGTAGTTCGTGTTGAACAATACTTACAACTCTATGGTATTGAAATGATCACAATTCAGATATTTTCCACCAGTTCTGAAGTAATGTTTATGAGATTTTTGTAGATTTTTGTATCATGGGTTCTAACCGTCACTGCACAGATGAAGCAGTTAATTTTGAACAAAAAGACGAAGGTATGCGTTATGCGATCAACTCTTACATTGATCTCCAAAAGGTTGTGATTTTTTATTTAAAAGTCTGAGTACCATAAGAGTAGATCTTCCTCCAAGCTTTGGTATTTGTGAATATAAATGTACCGTATGTCTAATGTGCAGAACTGTACATTTGACAAAGAAATGCATTACGCAATCAATTTTCGCATTGATCTGTAAAAGGTTATGATAAAGAGTGTTTTATGTCCCGTTTTTATTATAGGTCTTTTGGTTTTTTTTTCTTTTTTTTTTTTTTTTTACATTTGTATTTAGATAAAAGCGTTCATTCCATTATTTGTATCTTATTTCAAGTGATACCAAAAGTTATATTGCAGGTAGTAGTGCTGAATGAAGCAGTTGAAGGTTCTGGCGCAAAGATTTTCAAGAAGTGGGAAGATCGATTGGATAGGTGGGCTTTTGGCACAATGTTTATATTAGAAAGCATGAAATTTTATGTTTGCTGTAATGAGTAGAAATATTATTGCATGGATCAACTGCTCCTGTGACTGATATCAGGATAACCTTATTGCAGTAAGCTTATCTTAATATCAATTAAAGGAGCAGTTTATGAAGTTTCTCTTTAAAAACTTCCAGGACTATTTATGTAGAAAGCGACATTGATGAGGAGCTACTGTTCAACATACCATTCAAAGGACATGTAAAAATAACTGGTCTTGTGCTGGCCGGTGACTTAGATGGTACTCATCCATCATACATACGGCTCTATAAGGATCGACCATCAGTAAGTTTGTTCTGAGTATTGTCCTTCTGTACGGTCAGACGGAAAAAATGCAATTGTTTTTGGTTAACGTTCGATTGCTTATTTATTAGGATTGAACACATCACCACTTTCAAACATATTATATTTTTTAGATGTCATTTGAAGCAATGGCTTTAGAAGCTGATCAGGAATTTTCATTGAAACAGGACATCAACGCACAGAAAGATTATCCCATGAAGGCCTCAAAATTCTCAAATGTAACGCATCTCAGCTTGCATTTCCCAACCAATTTTGGCGAAAACAAAACTCGGATTTACTATATCGGTTTGCGAGGCGAGTATATTGCGGATATAAGGCAGCAGGTGGGATGTTAAATATTGATTTCCATTTTATTAAATCTTAAATAAATCATTATGGCATAATTTTCTCTTATGAAACATGCTTCCAATAATGGAAGTAGCGCAAGTTCATACTGAATTCATTTGCTCATAGACCTGATGAAAAAGGTTAATAATGTTAAGATTAATGATCTTGTTGGTTAATATTTGGTGAGTGTCGCATTTATATTCATGTGAAATGCAGAAGCATATTTTTCAGATATGCATTACAACATACGAAGCTAGGCCGATGCTTAAAGATCACAAAAGAGAAATTCCAGATGTCACACAGAGAGGTATCATGTAATTGATTTCTCTCTCTCAAAGTAAGCTTCTGCGCATATAATTTGTGGAGTATTTCTACATGTGTAATGTACATAATGCAGTGCAAATGTTATTACGTTGAGGATAAAATTATCGAGATAAGACGGCTGTGGAAGTCACGCGTTAAAATTATGCGCTACAAGTACCTAGGATTTTTTGAAAGAACTTTTTTAGTTGTTCTTTTTTTCTAGATCAAAAGTATACAAACGGTAACCATAGAAAAACTCATAAATGACGATGGGAAGATAATGAGCGATGAAAACACATGAAGGAATGAAAGTAATTGAAGATGAAAATATTTTATCAGTAGTCTCAACGTTGGGGACATAGAGAAGTGTATGTCTTTGCTAATCTATCCTCTTTTGGAATAAATCGTAGTTTGACATTAGCCTTTTTTTCGGCGTCATCCAGAAGAGCGTTTGGTAATACTATTTTTAGTTGTCAACACACAAATTTATTTTTTTCAAATTACAAAATTTTTGAAGGAATTCTTTCCAGTAGATTAACAAGTAAAGAAAGATCAGTTAAGCAGGTCTGAGCTACACAAACAAACTGCTTCACTTTTCGGAAATCCTGAAGCTATGAAATGATTCAGGCGTGAGGGGGGGGGGGGGGACGTGTTAGCTTTGCTTCAGTTGCACACTGAACAAGTTTGAGGGAAGGAGTTAAACGTGTAGGGAGGAGATTTTTCTTAAAATATGCTTTTATGGGTTTCTGTCGCTAGGCAACACTTTCAAATATGCACTGAATTCCATTCCACTTCGTAGTGCACAACCACATGGGAACCATCCCAAGGAATGCGCATTTGCATTACGACTCTAGTAGCATGTTAAAGAGGTCTAGCTATTTCATTTGGTTGTGTCGAAGTATTTTCATTTGAGGGCTGCGTTATATCGAAGTCTAATGCACTTTTGCTTGGTGTGTACCATTTAGTTGCTGACGCGTTACAGATGAAATGGATAGACTGACGTGGTACCAACCAGGAGAGTATATGGAAGATATAATCATTCAAAGCGGTCACGTGAGTATATATGACGGAGACGTGAAACAGGTATCACCAAATCGTCTTGTAGTATGTTCGCTTCATCTCTTGAAAAGAAAGTGAGGATTTATAAAATCTTGAATAGTTTCAGACAACGTATGAGCAAGGAACTGCTTCCCTCACATTGCATCGTATTATCTGGGCCGATTCCAATGATCCAGTGAGTAGTCTTATATCCTTTACTTTTGTTCTCCCCGTACTATCTCTGTTAAACGATTCAGTAGTTATACGTATTAGTTTCGACCCCGATATTTGACGCGGATATATGTCCTCAGGAATGTGTTGGCCTATCATAGTCAAGTCCATTTCTTTAAGGCCGCTCCGTTGTGAACATTCATATTTTTCACTCTAAACTCATTCCCAAAAGATACTGATTTGCAAAACTGCGTTCGACACTTTTTTTTTTTATTTTTTACAGGATCATCGGCTAATTTTACATCACTCATTGGTAGCTGGTATTGAGAAGCACCATAAGTCGATGTTCCGTCGAGGTGGCAAAATTATCCTTTCGTTGCATCCTAAACCACTTGGGCAACAGCGAGGCCCTTTCGCCTCTTCTTCTTTTAATTATATTCGCCTTGTTTTTCGAAATGGGGGAGAAGACGAGGTGATTATCCATCTGGTTTCTCTTTGTATGGATGTCTGCCAGAAGGCCAGCAAATAAATCATTTTAAAGAATATGTTGTTCAATTTGCCTTGTTCTTTCTCGGTAGGACCAATAAGTTTAATAGTTGTGGAGAGTACTTGTCAATTTTTAGAACTGCTTGTGTTTAGAACCTCTTTCCTGATTTTCGTAAAATTAAAAACTGTTCTGACCTATTTTGATTAAAGTACTGTAATGAAACAGCAGATAGGTAAATATGGCAGAACTTACTAGCTACTTCCTTTTCATTTGGATTTTATGTGGTTATTTTCGTTTGCAGTTCTTTGAAAAATACAAAGAAGCACTGGGATTGAATACGTGGGAACGAATACCTTCTGGTTGCGCAACGTCAGGCCCTGTCGCTGTATGCTTTAATGTTTCCTTAATTTGTTCCCTGAATTAAATTAGCTTACAACAGAGTGCAATATGAGTAAAAAGTACTCGAAAAATTGAGAGTTCAATGGAATTTAAATAAGAAAGTGTGCTTAATTAGAAATGCACTGCTTCTGAATATTAGTGGTTTGCAAATGAGCGAATTTGCTTTCGTTTCATAATTTATGGTAATATTTTACTTATTTCAGTTACGCAACTGTAACACTGCGATGCCACGAGTCGTAGGTATCTTAGGCATTGAGAAAAGACTTGCTGAAAACCATCATCGTACTCATGAAAGCATAAGTCAGGTTACTGATCTGTGTTTACTACATAATAAAGGAGACACGAAGTGTTTGTGATAGTTTTTCACTTTAGGCTAGGCGGAACTTATTTCAGGCTTTTGAAGATATGAATCGACTGATGGAATATGCACGAGAAATGGTGTCCCTTTCGAAGGTTATCACCGATAAATTGCGAGCAAGAAAAGGCGAGATAACTGATGATGAAGTGAGTGAGTCCTACCTCCAGTTTTCTCTTCCAGGTTATTGTATGTGAATGCTATCTTCAATTTCAGACTATACGCTTCAAGACCTACTTACTTAGTCTTGGCGTTAGCGATCCAGTGACAAAGTCAACATTTGGCAGCAGTGCGGAATACTACAAAAAACTTGCGGAAGAGTTGACTGCGGTGTTATGTGCCCCTCTTAAGGTTCATTCAAGTTTTTGGCGTAGGCAATACATTGACTTTTAAAATACGTTCATTATATAATGGTAATATAGTGTGTACGTGTGCAGGAATGCGGTGGTATGATGACTTTATCAGACGTATATTGTCGTATTAACAGAGCTCGTGGTTTAGAGCTCTTGTCACCAGAGGACATTTTGAATGCATGTCAGATGTTGGAACAAATGAATCTACCCATATCGTAAGTTAATCATTACAAGTTGACCTGTTTACTGGTTTACAATACTTTTTGATTAAATTTCTATAAGAACAGTTTGAACTGATCCCAATAAAAGCGTCATTTCAGCAAACTAATAGTGGCTGCCATAATAAAAAATTTATTACACAGCACACAAAAGTTTTGGAGCTTTTCTGGGATAAATGACTCGAAAGGTTGAAAAAATTTATTACAGTTTAAATCGTTTTGAAAGTGGCGTCATGGTTGTACAGCTGAAAGAGATGAGTGTAGAAACCACGATTGAGAGTACTGCGGAGTTAGTAGCAGTTATGGGTACTTGTAATGCTACTAAGCTTGCTAAGTGTCTCGGCATTACAGTCATTCTTGCAAAGGAGAGGTAAGATCTTTCTCGTCGTGTTTGGGAGCTGTAGGTCTTTTTAAAAGTAGTAGGTTGTTCAAATAAATTTCCATGGCTTGTAGTTGATAATTAACAAAACCAGAAATGCCTAATATATAATACTATCGGGGTATTTCCGATACGCGTAGTTAATGTCATGATACACAGAAAAAGTAATGTGCGAAGTAATTACAAATGCGCGTTTTGCCAGGAAATTCTTCATAAATGTTTGTTTAAAAACTACAAATTTGTGGGAAATTTTTTCATTTCAACTGTAAACTCAGCAAATTATTTTTAAGGTTGCTTGCGGCGGAAGCTCAGGCGAAGCTTTGCCGTGATGATACCGTTGAAGGTCTTACGTTCTATCCAAATCGTTTCATGACTTCATGCTAACATCTATACATAATCTTATTCAAGATATGATTTCTGTGTCCTAACTTTTCTATCATCTAGACAAATTAAGCTTCCAGTTTGTATTTCGTATCACTTTCATACTATTCCTTGGATCTCAGCTGTTCCAGTACTACGCGACACTAATTTCCATACTCTTCGATTTTTATTCGTCCTCGAATATGTTTTTAAGAGTTGATGAAATTATCCTGCACATGTATTATTTCATTATAGGTATTAAAGGTCTACGTCTAGTCCTATAGTTGTTTCAGACTTCGTAATTGATTTATTCTTTTTTATCTTTACGCCATCCAGAGTATATTGTTTGTTGTTATTGTTCATAATTTATTTTTTATGAATACTTTGTTCTGCGCATTAAAATAATGTAGTTTTGATAGAATAATTTCTTTGTATATACCACGTGTTGCTTTATCCTTATATATATTGTGATTTTGGAAAATTTTGAAGATATGCATACCAGATACACTATGTTTTCTGTCGGTTTTAATAATGATGAATGATTTTTGAAAATATTCAGAGATATGGAAGACTGGGTTTATTCTTCGCCCTGATTTCTTCTGTATTACTTACCGTGGATGCTTTATTTTATCTTATTCCACTTCATCAGGAATTCCAAAATTACTGCTCGACAGATGGAAAAGATATTACAGTTGGGTCAGAAGACTCAAATCCTTCAGTTATTCGCTTTTTAGAAAATGATCATAGTATATATATTTGAGCCGTTATGCCTAGTCGCTGACTGTATTTACATTGATAGTTCTAGGTTATCAAGAATTTGCTAAAATACTAATAAAAAGGACAGATTTCTCTACTCAGGTTTTCTGATCGGTATTTAGATATCCACATTCCTTCTAATATTCCCTTTGAGCCAACTTAGAATGAGCATGAATTATGTTGGAATTGGAAGTTAGTGGAATTTGAGCGTTGTTTCTTTTGTATTTCAGAAGAGGTCGTTGTACTGTAGAGTTGTTTGAATAAATTATGTCTGAAAGGGCGCTTGTGGAGTCGGATGAGCATTATGAGGAGCCTTTACCTCCACACGATGAAGAAGATAGCCAGGTTGCAAGCAACGAAATAAATATGGCTATGAACGGCGGTAGCGAACAAAACACCAGACCTGATACGACCACTGCGCAGGTTCTTTTTCCTGCGGGCTCTTCCCTCTCTTCGCAGGTTTCGTTTTCAAGCATACTTAAAATGTTTTATTAAGTTTTGAAACAATTATTTGTTTTGTCTGTAATGATTAAATAAGGGGATTAAGGATGTGGAGGATGAATTATTGGGTGATGATGATGACAGTGATGACGAAGAAGTGGTTGTCACTATTGGACAAATTAAGCAAAACGTTCCGTTTTCTGCTGCGGTAAGTCTTGTTTTAAGAAGGTAGAGAGAGGAACTGGAAGGGAAGATGAGACTTGAAGGGGAAATAGACAAACATTTTAATTAGTCTTATGACTTGACTGATTTTTGTATGGGTGCTATGCTGAAACGGTAGTAAATTCAGAAAGCAGCCGGAAGTAGCGTTGGTAAGCTTGATATAGATGGAACTCCAACAATCAATGGGGAACCAATATACGACTTAGACTTGGCACAGATGGAGGAGAGACCTTGGCGAAAACCTGGTGCCGATATTACGGATTACTTCAATTACGGATTCTGTGAAGGTTGAGGTTTGGGAATATTTTCAAATCATATCCTAATATGAAATGCACTTCTATAAGAAGACTGTTTACAGAAACATGGAATATGTATTGCGAGAGACAGAGAAAACTGAGATCTGAATATGGTACGCAAGCTGCTGTTAACAAAGCTCTTTTCTCGAGTATTACTCTTATTACTCCAGTCTCGCAAAGTGCTACTTTAACAGGTAACTTTGAACATCGTACAGTGAACTTCATCGATATTTTTCCGCTCACCAAATCACTTAGAAAGTAAGGAGGTGATTTTTCTGGGGGTTCTTTTTTTTGCGTAATTTTAGTTTATGTCGATTTTTTCCAGAAATAAATAAATAAATAAATAAATAAATGAATAAATAAATATTAAATAAATAAATAAATATATATATATATATACATATATATATATATATATATAAACTGGTTGAATATTAAAGCATTTGGTAAGCAGTATTTCGGAAAACATCCACAAGAGCGGTATAAAATGGTTTGTAGTATGATGTTAGCATGTTTTTTGCCTTATTATTTGTTTTCGTTCAGGTGGCCGGCAGCTACAAACAATCCCGATTCTGGGACAAGAGAAATCATCAATGGATCTCAGCGGTTTCAAATTAGAAGCAGTGAGTTTAAGGAGGTTTTTTATTGGAATAAACTAAGTTATAAAATTAGGATTTATTAGAGTATATTTTAATCTTTCTTATTAAGAATCAACA